AGTAGAGACGGGGTCTCACTCTTGCTCAGGCTGGTCTTGAACTCCTGACCTTGAGCGATCCTCCCACCTCAGCCTCCCAGAGTGCTAGGATTACAGGTGTGAGCCACCACGCCTGGCCCCAATAACATTTCAAAGTCCAAACAACTTCCTCTTTCAAGGAGAACCATAACTGATCAGCACCATGAATTAGGTTTCAACTTAACAGAACAACTTCATGCAATACTTCAAAAGGAAAATATACATTATGCGATTGTTTTGTATGAATCAACTGATACTGCTGACTCAGTGCAGATTTTATATTAAATACTTCATTTGGGTCATAACAGAAGATTTTCTTTGCTATGAAGTTACTCACTTTGGGCACTCTTGCAAACAGAACATGGGGAATAGATATCTTCAACAGCTTTCAAGATAAATGTCATGAAGTTTGACTGAATTTGGTAAATTTAATGAGTGTGCATTCAGATGGTGCACTTTCCATGACAGGAAAATATGAAGGTTTATTGCACAGATTTAAAAAAGTATTATTAGACCCAGATGCTCTTGTTTCTTTTCATTGTATCTTGCATCAGCAAAATCTCTGTGCTAAAACTACTATTTCAGTGACACTTTGCAACAAGTTGTAAGCATTATTACTTATATTAGTGAAAATACAATATGGCATCATCAGTTTTATAACATGCTAAAGTTGAAAGATGAGGTATTCAGTGTGGATTTACCATATCATTCTAATGTGGGTTGGCTATTGCAGGGACAGGCATTAGCCAAAATTTTATCTCTACAAGAACAGATAGTTAAATATTATGAAGTACAGAATCAGAAATGTGAATTATTGAAAGAAAATTTCTATAGGAATGCAGTATTTTGGTGTGATATCATGTCAAATCAAAATGACCTGAATATTTCTTTGCAAAATAAAACTAAGTCTATATATGATATGTGGTGAAAAACTCAAGCATTTTGAAAAGCTATTTTTTTTCCAAACAGTTCTTCTTCAAAAGCAAATTTCAGATGAACATTTTCCCCAGTTAGCAAAGGTCACTGAGGAGCAGGATGTTATATGCTAATCATTTGAAGAATACACAGCTGTTATAGACCTATTAATTAGAAAATACAGTGAAACATTCAATGATTTTGACGATCTTGACATCACACTCAAATTAGCACTTCAGCCTCACCTAGTTGATATCACCGAGGCACCTAAAGAACTACAGATGGAATTGATTGAGCTCTCAGTAGATGACATCTTGAAGCCATTGGTTGCTGCTAAGGAAGATCCAATTAAAATATGGAAAAATGCAGTAGAATACCCACACCTTCAGCAACATGCCTGAAAAATGCTTTCTTGCTTTTCAACCACTTATTGCTGTGAATCTACATTCTCCTACCTGACCCAAATCAAGATGCCCTTAAGGTCACAAAGGACTGATACCCATTTAGAGGATCAACTAAGACTACAGACCTCCATGCTGCAACCAAATATTCAAATGCTTTCCAACAATGCAACAAAGTCATTAAAAGGTTAACTTTAAAATTAACAAACAGTTTTCATTTTCTGAAATTATTAAGTACATAGTAGTTAGAGTTTTACAAAATAATGTACATTTTTAAGTACTCTAATTGAAGTTTCTTGAATACAGCCTTATTTGCTTACAGCTACATTAATCGGGCCCTTTAACATGAAAAGGTTCCCCACCCCTGTCTTAACGGCATTTATCAGCATCTGTCTACACTAACTGAGAAAGTGAAAATCAGTGCTGACATCCAGGACCTGGCCTGGCATTTATGGCTAAGCCTTGGTGTCCTCTGTTGAACATAAACAATCTCACAGAACATCAACATCAGACAGGGCCACTCTGTGACTGTGATGTATCAAGACAAAAACAAGATCACTGCATAATCATGCCTGAACGCCCACAAAAACATGAATGTTATCTAACCTCAAAAATGATCAAACATCCACCCATCTTGGCTTACCTGAGTGACTGATGTGTCTTGACTAATTACAGCTTTAGTCTTGAACTAGTCTTCCCTCTTTCTCAAAAAGATTTATTAAAATACACAATTAAACATAAAATATCCCACTTCCTGACAACATCCCATCCAGAGCAATGGCCTGCTTTCTTAAACTTTCCCCTAAATCACAACCCAAAATCTAATAATGAGGCCTTTCTAATGCCCTCTTACTAATACTCTGTATTCTTATCCGTGGTGTGTGGTCTCTTCCCTGCAATGAGTAATAAACCACTACAGATATGTTCTTGGTGCACTTTCACTGAAGGGCATTGTTATAACATTCTTGATTTATTACTCTTACCTCCTGAGATTATTAAATTCTCTGGAGAAGATCACTGCCTTATTAATTTTTGTATCTCCCACTATAAAAAAAAAGTGCCTTTAACAGAGTAAATATACACAATAAGTTTGTCGGATGGATATCTGACTTCCGTAGAAACTATTTTCTTCAATGACAAGAAATGGTGAAAAGACATTGGAGAAAGAGTGTTCTGAATCCTGCTTCACAAAAGTGTAACTAACACTCTCTGGAAATGATTCTCTGGTAGTGACTTCGCAGGCAGAACAATGCTGGGGCTTGCAGGACGGTGTCTTGGTATGTCATAATTAATTAATATTCAGAAAAGGCAAAAAGATATATGCGAGATTAGGATAGCATTACGGTAGCCTTAAATCTATCAACAATATTGACCCTTCAGAGGAACCTTGTGGGATTTTTCTAATTCATCCAAACCAGGTTGCCAACGTGCCAACGTGCAACATTTTTGTTAATGAAAATACTTATTGTTGATATATTTTTCTAAATACCTTTCAAATTAGACACATAGTATAAACTTCAAAAGTTCCTATTAATTGCACTTCTTGAATTGCATTTTCATTTTACCTTAAAAAAACATAGAAATCTTTTTTAAAAATCTCTAATTTAAAATTTAGTCTTAATTTAAAGACACTATAAAATATACCAGGCAAAAAAAGAAGTCATAAATAAAAACATTAAGGAATCTGACATACAAACTGACATTCAAATTTTAAATAGAAAAACATTCAACCAAAAAGCTTTGTAGAAAAAAAATCATATTGTGACAGACATATACTACACAAGGGATAGTCTATTATAGTATCTGAATTTAGACAAATAAGCAATAAGGTGGGTAATAGAGATCACATGATCCACATTTGCATCTATGCATTTTCGCAAAATTCTTCCGTTACATTAATCTTCAAGGAAACAGCCACATCAACTAATACTAAAGTTGCAGGCTTAGGGAAAATAGCTGTAAGGAGCCCTGAAATACCATTAAAGTTGCTATTAATCTGCATAACTACCTTCTCTCAAGAAACTGGCCTAATCCTTTAGTGCTAAGAAGTGCTAAGAATCCACATTAAAAATGGGAGTCAGAGAACGCTGCAAAGAAATGAGTAGTTAATTAGCAAGAAAACTAGTAATAAGAAGATATAATTATATTTGATAATATTTTAGAATGTAACTGTGAAAAGCTATTAATATTCAGTAAAGAGTCAAACCTTCAGCACATATAAGCTAAAAAATATTTCATGTACATAATAATCAGAAATTATGTATGTTGAACATAAAAACTGAAATTACGAGTCTGGCCCCACAACATTAATTTTGTAAATTAGGTTTTGGTTTGCTGTCCATTTAAAAGCTCTATCTAGTAATTTCTCTACTTTGAATATAGCCATAGTATAATTTAATATACATGTATATGTGATTTTTCGATGTTATTTCAATGAAATTTACAATATTTACAATTTTTGAATCAGTCTATGACCCCTAAGTATTTTCTCCCAAGATGTGGATTAGAGCAACTAATTGCTGTGAGCCTGGAAATTACGTTTTAATGACCATGAGTCAAACCAAAAATTAAGTCATGACAACTCTTTGAGAAAAAAATACAAAATGGCTTATGCCTTTAATGTAGATTTTCCTAGTAGGTAAAAAAGCAACTCAGAGAGGAACAGTTGAAGAAAAGAGGGTCAGCTGCTCTTTAAAAGACCCCAGATCTGTCAATAAGCAATCATTCATTTACCCAACCAGTGCTTATTATGCATAGTCATCACACTAAGCTCCAGAGTGGCAATGGCTCCCCTTGCCACCCCACTGATCCACAGCTTATACTCTTGCAGAAAATAAATTAGCAATAATGACAAAAGATGCTAAAAGCTCTAAGCAGAAACACTGAATGTAGTCTAGAATGTCAGGAAAGTCTTGGAGGGAGGAACAAACAAGGTGAGACCTGAAGGATGAGTTAGAGCTGATCAAGAAAAGAAGAGGAAGGAGAGGGTTGCAGGCAGAGAGAACAGCTCATCTGAAGACCAATTCACAGGTGAAAGAGATTATTGAACTATTAAAGAGTGAAAGATGCTCAGTGTGTAGCACAACTGATATAGGGAAAGAATATTGTGAGCTCAGACTACAGTGATGGTATACAAAGTATGATTCATTTAGACAGAAGTAAAAGAGGAGCTGCCAACTAAATAAAACATAATATTTATTAACCCTTACTATGTGTCATATTCTCTACAGTGCACACTTTCTGCACCGAGTCTCATTTATGTCATATAACAATTCTATGAGATAGGTGTCATCATTATTCCTGTTTTACCGATGAGAAACTGAGGCAGAGAAGTCAAATAATTTGCTAAAGGTCACACAGCTAAGTTATGACAGAGCCAGATTCAAATCCAGATCATCTGAGCCTATATCTTGTGTCCATAAGCATATCCCAGGCTAGGTCAAAAAGGGCAACCAGCATTATAATACTATCATTGAAGTCATTTCAGCCAGTTTCACTCTCATGTAGCAGGGGAGGTATGTTTCAATTAGTGGATTCTTGCCGGTACTTCCTCATACTTTCTAGGCAGATTTTTGGAAATTAGGGGGTTATAGTAAGGTAGGAAGGAAAACTCATTACCCAGTCCCCAGAGAGTTGAGAAATGAAGTGTGGGTTTGTACTACTTACGGCTCTGCCTGTAGGCTCCTGTCCTCAGCCACATAGTTAGAAGGAATATAGCCCTGTAGTTGCTGGCTGGAGCCATCTCCCCTTTTCTCCAAGTGTCTGGCAAACCACCAGCCCTCGTGGGAAGTGTCCAGGACTTGCAGTTTGTCGCCAGCACGGAAGCTCAGGTCCTCTGCGGTCCGAGCCTGGTAATCATACAGAGCCACAAAGTAGTGGCTGGAGCTTCTCTCAGGCTCCTGCCTCTGTGACCGGGGAGTAACCGGGGAGCAACGGGCCCCTGGATTAGCAATCACCACTGGCTTGTCTGCCTCCTGGGACAAGCAGGGGAGACAGGGCTCCAAGTAAGCCCAGATCCTCAGCCAGACGTTGCCCATGGTGTCTTAGTGGGGAGAAGAGGAGCGAGGCTTCTCCCTCTCCCCTGAGTCTCTGCAAATCCACTTTTTCTTCCTCCACCAGGCAACGCTGAAATCAGCACCAACTTGCCATACTTTCCATAGTGTGCAAAGTCCTGTTTCAGAACAGTGTAGCAAGCCCTACCTGGAGAGACTCGCTGGTTTGCTTTCCGTGTCCGCAGCTGCTGCCCCAAAGCAAAACCAA